TTAAGAAATCTCTATACCCAACGGGGAGCTCAAACTCACGACTGAGATCAAGAGTCACAAACTCCACCGACAGAGCCAGCCAGGTTCCCCTTGACCCCCTCAATTTAAAGAAAACCCCATCGGTTTCTACCAAACTACCCCATTTTGCTTTATTCACTCATCACTGGATGTCTTGTGTGCCTATTTGGTTCACTCCGGGGACCCAGGTCACCAGGCTGCCACATGTCATGAAAAGAGCAGACCCCCCGCCGTCCCAGAGCTTGGGTCCCCTGTGGCTCCCGGAGGGCAAGCCAACACACATGCAAAGGAACTTCTCTGAACGAGGCACTTGCACCCCACCTGTCCCCTGGTTTGCCCTGGGAGCCCCCTGGAAGGTTGGCTCCAAGAAGCTGCAAGGGGTCATGACACCCCAGGCCCTGATGGGGCGCCCTGCTGCTCATTGTTGAGTGAGTAACTGAGGGGGTGAGTGAGGTGGGCAGCTGGGCGGGGAGTTCTGTGAGGTCCCCTTGCGTGTGGCCTCAGCTGGTCTGTTTGCCAGGTGGCTCCAGGGAGGCCCAGCTCGGAGCGCCATCTGAGGTCACCCGCAGTGAGCTGCACGCGGGGTCGGACAAGCCCCCGGGCTTCCAGCCTCCACGCATCCAACCAAAACTGAGTGTGTGTCAGGCACTGGGCCTACGGGGCGGGGAAGACAGGGTCTGCTCTCACCGGTCGGGGCGCTGCAGCCAGAGAATGCCCGAGAACGTAACGTCAGGGGACTGGGGGGCGCTGGGAAAATCAAGGAGGGTGAGGAAGACCTGTGAGCTGCTGGGCAAGACACGCCGTGAAGGAGGCCGTGGGCAGGCCTTGTGGAGAAGTGGGGGTGGAGCCAAGCCTCCAAGTTAGACAGAGGGTTCCGGGTGGCAGGAGCAGCCGGTGCGAGGCTTACCGGCCCGCTGGAGGAGCCGCAAGGAGGCCTGGGAGGTGGAACGGAGTGTGGACGGGGGAGCGGCTGGAGGTGAGGCATGCGGGGTGGGCCAGAGAGGGGGGGGCCCTGGGCCATGGTAAGGAAATGGCCTTCCCTATCAGGGGCCAGTCCAGGGATCTGACCTGGATTCTCAAAGGTGGGCAGAGCTGGACAGGAAGAGGGCAAGGGCCAGGGCAGGGGGACCTGAGATTAGGGGCTGGACCGGGAATGGGAGACAGACACGGAGAGGGGATACGGTTTGGTCAAGGCCACACAGGGAACGGGGCGGGGGAGGAGCCGGTGGGGCCTCAGCTGCTCAGTTAGCCTCTCTGAGACACCACTTCTGTATCTGTCAACACCGTGCTGCAGGGACATTTGTTTACTCACTGTTGTACTCCTGGCACATAAAAATATTATCTGGCACAGGGACCCCGGGTGGCGCAGTTGGTTGAGCATCCAACTCTTGATTTCAGCTCAGGTCATGATCTCATGGTTCATGGGACTGAAACCCCACGTTGGGCTCCAAGCTGAGTGTGGACCTTGGTTAAGATTCTCTGTCTATCTCTCTCTTTCTCTGTCTGCCCCTCTCCCTTACTTGCATTCCTTCTCTCTCTAGAAAGAAAGAGTGCAAGAGAGAGAGGGAGAAGGTGAGAGAGGGAGAGAGAAAGAAGGAAGGGGAAAGAGGAAGGAAGGAAGGAAAGGAGGGAGGAAGGAAAAAGAGGAAGGAAGGGAGGGAGGGAGGAAAGAAGGAAAGAAAGAAAAAAGAAAAAAGAAAGAAGGAAGGAAGGAAGGAAGGAAGGAAGGAAGGAAGGAAGGAAGGAAGGAAGGAAGGAAGGAAAGAATATTGCCTGGCACAAAGTAGATACTCAATAAACATTAGCTGAATAACTCAATCTGCAGTCAAATGCTCAGTGGTAACTGAGCCCTACCCCCTGAATAACTCAATCTATAAACTGGGCTCGTTACAGACTACTGCCTACGGTGGTTATAAGGCTCAAACTACCGTGGGGTGCTAGGCACTTAGTAAGCACTCAGCAGGTTGGAGCTCATCTGGGTTTATCCTCACCCCTGGCTAGCACACTTCCAATCTCAGCCCCGGGGTAGGGGAGGCCTCAGGCGAAGGAGACACTTGCAGAGAGGTGGAATTGATGCAAATCTTTGGACAGATTGATTTTCCAGTTTGCTCTGACGGGCAGAGCACAGGAGCCCCAGACGAAGGAAGAGCCCAGAGCCTCGCCGCCCTCACTATTCTCCCCAGCCTCAAAACTGAAGCCCAAGGGTCCGAGCTGAGCCTGGGGCTCCCCTCTGGCTGCATAGACCCCAGGTGAGCACACGGTGGAGGCCAAGCAGGCGCAAGGTCGTTCCTGGGCCCCAGCACCCCACTGGCAAGATGGTCAGCACTCCGAGGCGACATATCGTTTGCCCCTCCTCCTTCCGCCCCGACTGGAGGTCTGGATCCCTGGGTCCCCTCTCCCAACCACTAGTGCCCCTGGCCAGGAGGGTAGATGCTCCTGACCATCTCCCGCAGACCCAGTCCCTGCCAGCCTCCATGCTGCCAGCTTAAGGACCCTCTTTCTGCGGTGAGCTTCCCCATGGGAAAATGGCCCCCAGAGGCCACTGTAGCAATCCCTCCACCCCTGGAAGAATTTGCCCAATGGATCAGGATACCCTGGAGGAGAGGCAGGAGGGTGCAGGGTGTCCCTGCAATCTCAAGCCTTTTCTAACACCCTAAGGTGCAGCCTGGCATTAGCAAGGCCTCCCCGAGGCTGTCCAGGCCTCCCGCTCCTCCGCAGCTTGGCACTGCCGTGGCCCGCTGCTGCCCACAGCCTCCCTGGGCAGGATCGAGTTTCTCACTGGTAGGTCTGGGAGCCCTTCCTCCCTCACCAACCACCAGGGAGAGCTGAGCCCTTGTGAATAATTCACTGTGCTTCACAGCAGGCCGGGGAGGCTCACGAGAGTGAAAAGCGCGGAGCCACAGCCCCCACAGCCAGGCCGCCAGGGGCTCCGGGTTGAGTGAGCCCCGTGGCCTGGGGCAGCCTGAGCCTCTGGCCTCTCCATGCCGGGCCTTGGAGACAGGAGTCCCCTCGAGATAGGAGTCTAAATGGGCACTGACCTCCACACCCCAGCAGCCCCCCTCAATTCCCAGCCGCCCCCTCCCGCCCGAGGCAAGCACACAAAAGCACCTTCTTATCAGCCAAGTCACATGCTGCAGCGGGAATGGACCCAAGGCCTCTGACCACCTCTGGGAGGTTCACAGAGGCCTCCGAGGGGCTGATGGCGCATCAGCCCAGGCCATCTGGACTCCGAGTTGGCACCAGGGCCCAATCACAGCCAGCACCTGGCATGGCCTGGGAGGGGTGAGGGCTCCCAAGGCCCCGAGCCCGCATGATGGTGCTTCGTGGCACAACCGGTCTTCCCAAGGTCGGGATCGCAGCCCATGGAGGGCTCCAGCTCATCCCAGGCCCCAGGCTTTTTGGTGAGGGGGGTTGAGGGGCCAGCCTGGGGTTCCCCACCCCACCAGTTCCTCATCAGCGCTTCCGGGGCTGGGTTTAGAGCCCTCTCTCAGTTTATACCACTTGGGCTAAGTTGGCATTACCATTAGCCTGGCTTTGGGGGGCGCATTACATGTGCTGAGGAAGGCTGATGGGTGCAGAAGGGTGGCCACGGCCCACTCGTCCCCTCTGGGGACCTCAGTGTCCTCTGTGTTATGTGAGGAGGGTGGGATAGGAGCATTCGAGTCAGCGCAGTGGGACGGCAGGCGTGTCACAGCTGCCACTGCCCAGCCCCAGGCTGGACAGTCCAAGTCGGGGATTTGGGACCAGACCCCCTGGGGGTGCTGCTGATGGTGCCAGCCTGCACTCAAGGGTCCCTCCCCCTAAATCCCAAGGACTGACGTGACCCAGGACCTAGCTTGTGCAGAAGCAGAGAAGTCATACTCACACGGCCTGCAGGGAGGGCGGTGAGAGGTCCCGGGCTCGCCTGCTGGGCTCCCGCCAACCAAACCTGGCAGTGCCTGCGGGCTGAGCTTGGGGGGGGGGGGGCGGGGAGGGTCTTAGGGCTGCCTGACGTCCCCCGATGTGCCAGCTGCGGCCAGCCTGCCATGGGGCCACGGGGCCCAGGCTGCTCTCCGGCCCGCTCCCTGGCAGCCAGTGACCCCGCAGGCTCCCTCAGGAGTGGAGCCAGTGGTGAGGCTCCCCCTCTGACCTCCGGGCTGCGCTCCTCCTGAGGCTTGGTCTTCTGTCACCGCTTACGCCCCAGGCCCCCACGTGGACTGACAAAGGTCACTGATGCGAGCCCCCATTTGTCAGACAGTCCCACTCCCCTGAGACAGCTCCCCAGGACCCCTGCTTCCCCTGAGGGTCACCTAACACCCGGCTCCCTCCGTCCCCCGGGACCTCCCAGGACCCCCTGCTCTGCACTGAGCCCATTCTTCTGCCTGCCCCCACCCCACCCCGGGGAGCCCCCAGCCCACTGCTCAGCTGCTCTCTCAGACCTGCCACTCGGGCTGAGGACCCCCGGAGGATTGGGGGGGCCCCACTTCCCTTGGTAGTGGGAATGGGCTGAGGGGCCACAGGAAATGACAGGTTGCCCTCTGGATGGCCTCTCAGGGGGCTGTGGGGCTAGGAGGGGGGAGGCTCCTCCTCCTTCTTGACTAGCGGTCTAGGAAGCTCTCTCGTATCTTCACCCCTACTCCCCCCGACCATTAGAATAGTCTTGCAAATTGGCACAGGCCAGAGCTCCAGAGAGCTTCCTGGGTGGGCAGGCTTCCTGGAGAGGAGCGTGTGATCTGGGTCCACACGCCCAGCCGCCCGGGGGGCAGCTGTGTGCTGGGGGAGCATTTGCTTGCAAAGCTCTGGGGCAAGTGGCTGTGGGCCGCCTGCCAGGAAGGGAAAAATTTCAGCCTGGGTGGGAGCTGTCTCCGGCCCGGCCTCTGGCCACTGGGGTGGCCCAGAAGCGGTGACTCCCCTGGAAAGCGGGAGGGGCAGATTTCAGGCATTCCCCGGAGCCCCGCCCACAGCACCCGGAAGAGTGAGGGGAGGAAGAGGGTTGTCCTTACTCAGGATAGTGCCCGATGAGGAGCCTCAGGGAGGGGAAGTCTCCTTTGGCGGCAGCGTAGTGGACAGCCAGGGCGCCTGTGTCTGTGGTCGCGGTGGCATCCCCACCGCCATGACGCAGTAGCCATTCCACCAACTCAGGGTGGCCGAAGCGGGCAGCCAGGTGCAGGACTGTGGCACCAGAATTGTCTTTGTCCTGTGGGAGAAGAGTGCGTTACTCCTGGGGCCTTGTCCTCACGTGCTCAGGCCACATCTTGCATCCGGCCAGCCACGGGGGCCGTTCTGTCCTTGGGCACCTAACCGGCCCTCAGTTCATAAGCGGCACGCCCATGCCATCCATGCCGGGCTTCCTGGGGCCTGCACGTCATGGCTGGGAACTGCTTGCATAGAGCAGGCTTTCAGAACATGGCACTTGCGTCCTCCCTGCAAGAGAAACTGTCCCCCCCCCCCCCCCAGTGCTCTGGGAACGCCTGAAGGAGTGAGCAAGGGTGGCTGGGGCAGGAAGGGTGGGCTGCTGAGGCTCTGCCCGGCTAGCATCAGGATGGTGGGCGCAGCCCCTGCATCTAGCCCTTGGCCTCCCCTCCCCCTCTCCAGGTGTCACATGAGAAAAGGCCTCCAGCTTGGTGTACCTCCAATAACCCAACATCAGTGCAGTGAACTGCCCCCCCAGCCCCCCAGCAGACTCCTGGCTCCTGGCCCAGGGAACAGGCTGTGTTCTTGCTCTGTGGGGGAGGAAGCTTCCGGGTACCGGTGGCAAGGCCTGGGCTGTCGGCCAGTGGTTGGCAGGTGTGGGCTCGAGGTGGCCCCTGAGAGGGGCTTGGGTAGGACACCCGCCCAGGCATCCCCGAGGGGGCAGGCTGATGGTCAGGGGCCCAGAAGTACTAACTGTGTCATCTGTGAACATCCAGATGTGTGCGTCTGTGGCGGGAGGGGGTGGGCAGGTGCCGCTGATGTTCGCCTGGGCGGGAGGAGGGGAGTCACCGAGAACCCAGAAGTCTGGACTCAGAGGCTGGCGAGTGCGGGAGCGTGGCCACCAGTGGGAGTGGGAGCCCAGCATGGACTCCCTGCGCCAAGCACGCGGGATAATGGGGACGCAGGCAGGGAGGGGGGCAAGGGCACAGGGAAGGAGACGCAGGAGCAGGGAGAGGTGGGTGCGGCTTCCTAGGGTCAAGGAAGGGAGGCCCCTCTGGCCAGAGAGAGGCGCCGTGGGGACAGGCGTGGCCAAGGAGGCTTGAGGAAGGTGAATCGCAGAGGCCCTTATAAGACGGGCAAAAGGAAAAGAGGCCACAGAGAGCACAGGGACCACCACCTGTAAGTCAGCAGCCAGCTGTGGGGGCGGCTGTGGGGCTGGGAAGGAGGCAGGAAGAAGGTGAGGGAGGCCACGGAGGCAGCTGAACACAGCATCTACAGTCTGTATGCCGGACCACCCAGGCAGACCCTGAAGATGGGTTCAGTCTGTCCCCCTGAGCCCGGACCTCTGGGTGGGGGTCGGGGGGTAGACAGTAAGGAGAGAACCCAGGCCTACGGGCTCTGGCCTGGCCGCAAGGCCCCAACAGCTGTGCAGGCCCCAGGAGCCTCACGTGCTGCGGCCGGCACCCTAAAGCTGCTTATCTGTCTGGGCTGAGGAGGGCCAGGGATCAAGGTCATCCTCTCCGCTCACGCACTTCCGCCCCCAGCACCCAAGCTTGCCGGGGCTCGAGGGAGGGAGACTTGATAAGCTAGGCAAAGGGCCCTTGTTCCTCTGCCTCCTCTGCAGTGGGCAGGGAGGCTTCTGGCCAAGGTTGGACACAGGGGCGAGGGAGGCATGCTCCCGAAAGAGTGGGTGTGGACCGCGTGCCAGGAAGTCCCGATAACAGAGCCAGCGGGCAGATAAGCAATCCGCCCATCTCCCAGCAAGGGTAGGAAGGGGGGCCTTGCCATCCTGAGGGAGGGTCTGGTCATCCTGAGGGTACAACCAGCCAGCTCTGGGTCACCCCATCTCCTCTCCTTCCACATCCAGTGAACACAGCGGTCTTGTTAATTGGGAAATCAGTGCTGGTTCCTCCCTCCAGCAGCTTTTCCCCGCAACTAGAATATCATCCAAATTCCTGGCTGCAGCCTGTGGTGGCTTCGCCCAGCCTCCTCCCCCCCACCCCCAAGTGTGCCTTCCTCCTTGCTGTTTCTGCAACAGGGCAAGACTGTGTATGCCTGAGGGCTTTGCACTTCTTGTTCTTTGCTCTTAGAACTCTCTAATCCGGCGCCTGGTCACCTCCTTCTCATCATCTAGGACTCCCTGCAGAGGTCACTCATTCCTAGCCACCTGGCCCAAGCAGCTAGCTCCCTGACACCCCGCTGCATGGTCCAGCAAGACCTGAGGGCACCTGGGTTTGCTCTCCATTGCCCCCGTGGACTGGCAGTTCCAGGAGGTCAGGAGCGCTCCTGAGTCCCCAAGCCCAGCACCTGCTGGATGCTCTACTGCCAGCAGGAGGTAGCAGCAGAGATACACAGCAGGGCCCCAGCCGCCTCCTCCTCCAGCTCAGGAGGGGAGGGCTTACAGACGCCTGGGGGCCACTGAGTGAGACTAACGGGGGGGGGGGGGGGGGGGGGGGGGGGGGGGGGAGAGGGGGGGGGGGGGGGGGGAGGCAGGGGGCCTTTGGGCAGGAAGCCTCAGGCTGGGCTGGAGCAGCAACTCAAAGCTGGAAGGCAGGAAGGTACTGATGTCCCAGGGTCAGCTAAGGCCCTGGGGCGGCCCCATTTACCACGCCCATCACCGCTCCCCCATGCCCTGGCCTCGGGGACACCTGCATCTCTGTCTGGGGTGGGCTGTACACTTTGCCCACCCTTTTCTAGACCTGATCCCGGAAGACCTGGGCTTCTGATTCTGTGCGCCACCTACACTCCAGGGCTCCCCTGGATCAGTGCTTTGCTCCCCTACCCGCCCTCCCTGCCCCTGTCCCAGATTAAATACTGGCCCAGGTAAGCCCAAATCCCTCTGGCTCCCCATTACCCGGTGCTCTTCTAGGCAATGGCCCTGGCTTGCTAAGGCGTCTTCCCGGGACACTCTCGATCCGGAGAGCCCATCCCACCCCAAGCCCTCTGGAAGGAGCCCAATCTCACCCGCCCTTGAGCCAAGGGGGCTCTGGGCCAGAACTCTCCGCCTGGGCAGGAAGCCCCACGGCGCCCAGTGAGCCGCGCGGACCCACCTGCACTCCGCAGCCGCCCTGCGAGAGCAGCCACTGCAGGCAGGAGAGGTGGCCAGTGGCGGCGGCGTCGTGGGCCGGCGTGGCTCCGTTGCGCGCGCGGGCCGCGGCGGGCAGGGCGGCCTCCTCCACCAGGAAGCGCAGACAGTGCAGCTTGCCCGCGCGGGCCGCGTGGTGCACCGGCAGCGCGTCCAGCGGGTCCCGCTGCGAGGGTCTCAGCCGGCCGGCGGCGTGCAGGGACTTCAGCACTTCCAGTTCGCCCTGCCGCGCCGCCTGCAGCGCCCGCTCCAGGGCCATGGTGCCGCCCGCGGCGCCGCGCCCCGCTCAGCGCGTTCCCCCGGACGCCATGCACCTGCCCGCGGGCAGCCGTCGGGGCCCTGCGGCTCCCGGGAGGGGGCGCGCGGAGCGGCTGCCGCCGGGTCCCCGCCGCGCACTGCCTGGCGCGCTCCGCTCCGCCTCCGCCGCGCTCTGGGGCTGGGGGCCCCCGCGCGCGCCGGGCTCCAGGCTGGGGCCCGCCCCCCGCGCCGCCTCCGCCCCGCCCCCGCCGCGCCGCCCCGCGGGCTGGCGGCAGAGGCCGGGGCGCACGGGGACTTCTCTCCTGATTAAGCTCACGTGGAAATAGAGACCCCAGAGGGCCGCCAAACTGGGTTCGCATTTGAGGCCCGTCCAGGCGCTGGCGACCGGAGCCCCCAAACGGATTAATTCTCCAACCCAGTGTCCACTCCGTGCTGTTCCAGGCGTCTGCGACACAAGCCGGCAAATAATTACCGCCATTCCAGAGACCGAGTGTCCCCAGAACGGGAGTGAGTTGTAGGGTCCGGCTGGGGAGGTGTGGCGGGCTGGGTTTGGGATGATCAGAAGGGGCGTTCCAGGCAGGGTCGACAGGACCCTGCGGCGGGGACAGGCCACACAAGTCCCTGAGGGGTTCCGGGTCCGTGCCGGAGCGGGAGCAACCGGTGCTGGCCCCCCAGGCCCCCAAGAATTGTCCTCAGAGCCTCCTGCAGGCGGAAGAAAGAGGAGGAAGGGGCACGAATGCCTGGTGCATTCAAGGGTCTGGGTCTGGAGGCTGTGAGCTCAGGGAGCACCCAGGACCTCTGTCTGGGGCGTGTGGGGGGGGCGGTGGGGGGGTCAACAGTGAGCTGGGGGGCCTGGAGCTGCCAAATAGGGAGAAAGGAAAGTAGGGATTCAAGGGCTGGGGGCGGCGGGGAGATCACCAGAGCAGTCACCTGGGGAGCAGGGCCTGGAGCCTTCCCCGAGGGCCAGGAAAGTTCCAGGAGGCAGCGGGCCAGAGCACTCAAGTGCCAAACCAGCCTGCCCGGGTGGCCGGAAGCCTTTCGTGGGAGCTGGAGGGAGGCATAGCCCCCTGGACGGGACGACAAGCTGCCGGCCGGGGTGGGGGTGGGGGCTGCCTGGTTGTGGGAGCACAGTGAGCGTATCTTGTGAAGTTGAAACAGCCTGTGCCCTTCCTTCCCCCCTCCCCCCCTCCCCCCCCGCTGGAGCCCTGAGAGGGCTTGTTTCACCCAGCGGCTAGCTAGGACCGGCTCAGGATGCCCTGGGCTGTGGGAATGCGTGGAATGAACCTGCTTCCAGCACCAGTGGGAGTCCTGGTGCGGGACTCTGCGGCTGACACCAGGTGGCGCTGCGCGCCGTTATCTCCGGGGCTCCCAGTTGCCCTGGTAAACCGGAGCTGCCCGGCCTGAGTGGCCTGGTGGGTTTCCTTTCATTTCCAAAGGGCCGGAATGACCTCGCTCCCTCCACGGGACCTGCAACAGCTGGGGCCTGGGACCCCTACTCAGTGCTTTCTGGACAAGGGGAGGGAGGCAGGAGTCCTCCCGGCAGCCTCCCCGCTTCAGCTGGCTCTTGACGCCTGCGGGAGCGGGCTCTGTCTAGCACACCCGTGGCGAGCACGCCGTGGGGCCTGCAAGGGCAGCGGGTGCTGTGAAGACAGAGCGCTAAAACGGCTTGTCTTGGGGGCCCCTCCCTTGAACCTCCTCCTTGACTAAAAACCCCTGCAAGTCATGTTCTTCACTCCCAGACTCCTCTCAGAACACCGCCCAAACTCGGGCTGGGATCCAGGCCTTTGCTATCCTTTCCGGCCTGGAGTCAGGGTCCTGTCTGGTGGCCCCAGAGAGCCCACGCCAACAAGGACACATTTGTGGCAGCCCTCCTGCTTCCCAGGCACTATGCTAAGCGTCACCTGCATATAAATATATATATATATATTTAAAAATTTTTTAACACATATTTATTTTTGAGAGACAGAGCACAAGCAGGGGAGGGGCAGAGGGAGAGGGAGACACAGAATCTGAAGCAGCTCCAGGCTCTGAGCTGTCGGCACAGAGTCAGACACAGGGCTCGAACTCAGAAACTGAGATCATGACCTGAGCTGAAGTCAGACGCTTAAGCAACTGAGGCACCCAGGTGTCCCAAATATATATATATATATATATTTGAACTTTAACACAGAGACATTTATAGTTAGAAAGGGCAAATCTTACACCCAAATTGGTTTTAACATGAACGCATCAGAATGGGGATGCCCTAGCTCCCACAGGTCTTTGGCTCCTTCCAGCGCAGGGCTCAGTTAAACTGCTTTCAGTCACCACTGTTCCCTCTTCCTAGCAGCAAGAGAAGTTCAAGTTCAAGTTCTTCCCTGTTACCCAGCTGGAGGAGACAGAGTATGACAGACTCCAGAATGCCATCTGCCTGAGCCCCACCTAGTCTCTAAGCTTCAGGGAAATAGGCAGGTGCATTTTCTTAAGAAGCCTGAGGGAGTTATGGGACATTCCCTTGCTTAACAAGCCAAACAAAAGCGACAGGTCTGGCGAGCTGATGCTCCAGCAGGACCTTGGAGAGGGAGGGAGTCTTCCTGGGGAGTGGGGGGCACCGAGAAAGGGCTAGGCATGGAAGTTCGCCTCAGAAGTTGAGGGGCACGGGCGCCAAGCCAGTCCGAGAGTGGAGTTCTTCCCCAGGTGCCAAAGGATTGTCTCTGGATGGGGCTCCTGGGGGGCTCAGTTGGTTGAGCGACCGACTTCGGCTCAGGTCATGATCTCGTGGTTTGTGGGTTTGGGCCCCGCAACAGGCTCTGTGCTGACAGCTCAGGGCCTGGAGCCTGCTTCCAGTTCTGTGTCTCCTCCTCTCTCTGCCTCTACCCCATCCGTGCTCTGTCTCTCTCTCAATAATAAATCAATGTAAAAATTAAAAAAAAAAAAAAAAAAAGGGTTGTCTCTGGTCTCTAGGTCCCAGAGAGGCCTCCCTCCTTGGTCACAGGTGAGGGAAGGAGCTGCAGCTGCAAATTCTCATTCTGGAAGATGCTGTTAAAAGCAGGGCCACTCTGGGAGCCACTGAACAGCCTTGTGGGTCCCAGTGCTATGATTCTGGGGGAGTTCTGGAAGGAGAACCAGCCAGGATTTTCCTTGGGAGAGATGGCCCAGCTGATCAAATGCTTGGATCTGCTGCGGGTCCAGAACACGCTCTGAGTCTGAACGGCACGATCTGCTTTGGGTGTGTGACAAGATGTAGGCATATATTTACCTGGGTTGCCCTTCCCTTTTTCTTTTTTAAAGCAATTTGGTGGGGATTTTTAAAATATTTATTTATGAGAGAAGGATTGAGAGAGAGAGAGAGGAGAGGCAGAGAGGGAGGGAGACAGAATCTCAAGGAGGCTGTGCACTGTCAGTGCAGAGCCCGATGAAGGGCTCCAATTCAGTAACCATGAGATCACGACCTGAGCCAAAATCCAGAGTGGAACACTCAACTGGCTGAACACCCAGGTACCCCTGTCCTTCCCTTTTTAATCTCAGATAAATTTTCACTTAATTTCCCTACTTTGTTACTGAGCTGCATATGTAGCATGTCCATCTTGTCTGCCCCATAGCTTCTATGGGGCACGCTTTGCTTTGCAGACAGAATGAGTGATATAAATGGCCACAGCTAAAGGCAATAATTTCCCCTTCACTTGTATATCTAATCTCCACAGTGACATTTATGAAAGAAGTACAACCACTATCCCCATTTTACAGCTGGGGAAACTGAGGCACCAGGAGATTAATTTTTTTGAAGGTATTTTGCCTGGGGTGACACAAATGCTCAGAGCACCTCCACTGTGCCCTCCAGCTGGCAGCTCCCTCCCCACCAGGAGGCTTCCTCTCATCCCCATGCTGGGCTCAGGCCAATCACTCACCTTATTCACACCTCTCTCCCCACCCAAGGGCAGGGAGCCAGGGTGGAGTGTGACCCCACTGTACCCTCCCCTAAAGCCTGCACCTTCACACTCTGCCCACTCAGTTGTCTTACCTGTTTCCCAGGTCATAAAAAGTTCCTTGCTCCAGGCAACCAGCAAAACCCCCAGAATCCTTTGGTTGAAGGGAACGGGGCCGACCTGGACCTGGTCAAAGTCCTTCACAGCAATGGGCGAATGGAGAAAAAACCTTAAACTCTGGAGTAACTGAACTCCCCTATGGCCCAGCAATAGCACTGCTAGGAATTTACCCAAGGGATACAGGAGTGCTAATGCACAGGGGCATATGGACCCCAATGTTCAGAGCAGCACTCTCAACAATAGCCAAAACATGGGAAGAGCCTAAGTGTCGATCAACGGACAAATGGATCAAGAAGATGTGGTTTATCTATACGATGGAATGCTACATGGCAATGAGAAAGATTGAAATCTGGCCATTTGTAACAGCATGGATGGAACTCGAGGGTGTTACGTTGAGCGAAATAAGTCAGGCAGAGAAGGACAGATACCTTATGTTTGCACGTACAGGAGGATTAGGAGGAACTTAACAGAGGACTGTGGGGGAGAAGAAGGGGGAAACAGAGGGGGAGAGGGAGGGAGGCAAACCACGAGAGATTCTTGAATGCCGAGCACAAACTGAGGGCTGATGGGGGTGGGGGGGAGGGGAAGGGGGTGATGGGTATGGGGGAGGGTACTTGTGGGGATGAGCACTGGGTGTTATATGGAAACCAATTTGACAATAAACTATTTAAGAAAAACAAATCTGGAGTAACTGGCCCTGAAAAGGGAGTTTGCTCCCCCACCCTGCCTTGCAGTGGTGATCCACAGGCAAGGAGGGGAGTTTCTAGGAGCCGTCTTCCTCCCTACCCTGCCCCCCCAGGAGCTAGTCTGTCAGCAAAGATGCAGATGTTGGAGTAAGGTGGGCTTGTGGGCACAGAGCTAGGTCAGGCAGTGTGTGTGTGGGGGGACATGTGAGGCATCAGTGATCCACTAAGTGATCCGCAAAACCCTTTTCTGAGCCCTTAAAGAACAATTCATTACCTTGGAGGGGACTGGT